TAAGGAGACAGATGGCTAAAGGTAACATGCTATCCTAGATGAAATTCTGTTACAGAAAAAGAACATTAGGTAAAAAACAAGCATGTCTGTCTATCTGTCTCATATATATATATATATAATCAGCCTTTTCTCCAAGGGTCCCTGATTCCTTTAAGATTGTGTGTGTGTGTGTGTGTGTGTGTGTGTGTGTGTGTAGATATAGATATATTTAATTTGGTTAATTTTAAATAATTTTTAAAGAGGAGACAGACAATGGCAAAAGCCTTGCTGATATCAGCCTTTTAAAGACACCAATGGAAATGGCCCACTCCACCAGACAAGAAGCTTATTTAAGTGCCATAGCAAGTGCACAGAATCCTGTCTGGTGGTGGGTCATGTTCCACCACAACCAAGAGGTGTGATTGGAACTGGCAATGAGATCTAGAAAACATATATTGAAGAAATTCTCCAGCACAAAAGTGGAGCTAAGTCTGCCTTAAAAGAGATCCAATATTTTTTCAATACATTTCATAATGCAATTAGTAGACACCTGAAAAGGATCAGAAACTGGGAAATATGCATTAAAAATCAACTTGAACACTTGGGTCAATACTGTTGCACTGCTCAGTCCCAGCTGCATAAGACATGAAATGATGCCAACTGGGAAAGGGAGCACAAATGGAAAGGAACAGATTTTTTTTTTAATTACCGAAAGATAAATGAGAAGTTGAATTAAAATTTAACAGCATTTCTAATGGTACCATTTTGGTAAATACTAAACAGATCTTAAATGAAGCAACAATTTAGAACAATAGAATTTACAAAGAAGCTCCAATCAAAATTGAAGGCAAAGTATCATATGACTAGAGGTACACATAAGACAATTATTCCAGAATATGTAATAGATGCTTCTTAAAATATACTGTTACTCTTGCTCTAATCAATTGTTCTCTCGTGTCCAATTACATTTCATTTTCTTAATAAAAACAATTACACCTCATAGAATCTGCTAGTGAGTACAGGAATATATTAGTATCTAAATATACATATATCACCTATATAAATATATATGCACACATGTATGTACATCTATATGTTATATTATGATGAGTGTTATTTTTAAGCTTGAGTATTAACATAATGCTCGATCGGGTCATCTTAAATGATCCTTAAGAAAACATAATAGTCAATATCTCATTTGATTTTCTAAGGATGCTTATGAGATAATAACACCAAGTATTATAATGCTTATTTGATAGATGAAGAAATAAGCCCAAACAGATTAAGTATCTTGCTCAAGGTCACAGAGTTAGAAGCACTTGCAGTATAGTTGGGCTAATAAAATACATCCAGGCACATAAAACATCCAAGAATAATTAGAAGCTTGTACTTTTCTCAATCAAATTCCCAAGCTCAAAGATGTCCTCCAAACTAAAAAGAGGTCCATGAAAACAAATCATCCTTGTCTGCCTAAGAAATACAGTTGGTCCTTTTCGAGGGTGAAAAACAAACTTGCCATCTTCAAGCTTGCAGATGAAGTAGAAATATTGGTGCAAGACTTTTACAGTTCATTAACTGTCATCCAGAGCAAGGAAGATTTGTAGCTTGCTTAAGGGACTGTTAGGCAGGGGTATAACAAACATGCCAATGGGTTTAACTCTTTAGCAGAAGGCCAAGTCAACAGGCCAGGAGGCCACCAGCCCAAGCAGGGGCAATGAGGAGGTTGTCACACTTAGACTAGACTGCTTTGAGTCCTTGCATTTAAAGAAAATTTAAAAATCTCTAGAATACTGTGTGTTTGCAATGATTCTTAGATTCTTTCTAGAGGTTTCCATTGTAAAATCAATATTTATAAGCCACTTCTGGAAGACCTATGTTGTCAGGATTAGATACTATAAATTGAGTATTATGGCCATCAGTGGCACATCCCTAGTTCTTTAGATTTATAATCAGTATTTCATATAACGAAGGGCAAAAGCTGGACTAAAATTCTATGGCCAAAGAAATCAATTAACACATTTACTCAATGATCGAATGAAGTGTTTCTTTTGGATCTACAGAAAAACGTGATATTCTACCTGTGATGGGTTGTTTACTCCAAAATAAATTTTGAGAGAATTGACTGATTTGGATCAAATGCTTAGCCCTGAAGGGCATAAGAAAATATCTGGAACTTGAGTTGGAGGTCAGTCAGCCATCCTGAAAAAAACAGTGACCGGAAATTTTCCAATGAACTTATCTTTTGTGGTTGTCCTGGATGACGTTCTAGGTGACAAAACTAGTGGTTTGGGCCCCTCTGCTATTCTTATTGACAATGTTTTCTACTTATTTGGGTGAAATATAATTTTCTGTGTCCACTTTGGTAATCAGTGCCTGATATTGATACTGTGTTATATTTATTCAGAAGTAAAATAGAAGAACTTGCATTTCCCGGAAAAGATGCAGACAGTTAATATTTCCCCATGTTGAAAACTGCAACCAAGGCATATACTGTTATTTATGGCAAGAGACAATTATCCTACACAATAGCACTAAAAACAGAAATCTGATTCATGAATATGCTCTTGTTTATTTTTCCCTGATGTAGACATTATCAGTCCTTTTTGGCCCTGGAACATATTGAGAAAAATGCTGTTAGTGTGCACAAGTGTGGGTATGGGTGTACGTGGGAGGGCAAAATGTCAATAAAATGGAATCCCATTCATTCTTTTTTTGCTAAATACAAATAATAGCACCTGGTCAGAGTTTAGCAAAAGGATGACAAATGTTCTGAAATTTGTAATAAAAAACTAGTATTATTACTGATATGCTATTTTAAAATTACTAACATAATTAATCTTCCAACAAAAAATATATAAATTATTATGGCAAATTTTTGAAACCATAATTACATTTATATTGATCAATTATTAGTTATCTTAGATTCAAAATGGTACATAGAATATTTATTCTCAGTAATACAAGTATATATTTTCTATGTCATTGATATTTACACTTGAATTTCAGAAGATTTTTACATCTTTGATCTTAACAATTAATGGTAGAACTATCAATTAGGTGGCAATTGTAATACAATTGTCATCATCTACTCATTCATGAACTTGGTCATAAATATTCTATTATTATCACTGCAATTAAATTGAATGACTTATTTAGGCCCAAGATAAAAGGCAATATTTTAGAAAACTAAAAATGCTAAGCAGAAATGTTTAGCTTTTCAGTGGTCCAATTAACCAAACCATTTTTATGATTTCATGAATTTTGAATTATAATTAGAAAGATATTCCCCAAACTAAAATTAAAAATGTTCCCACATTTAGTTGTTAATTTTTATGATTTTATTTGTTATCCTTATATCTCTAACCTATTTGGAATTTACCTGGTAATCTATCATTTCCCCCAATGGTCTATGTACTCAAGTATTGTATCCTAAATTTGCTCATTTTCATTTTGAATTATTTCTGGGTTTTCAATTATTTTCCTTTGGTCATTTATCAATTCATTCACTGGTATCACACAGTTTGTGAATTAATAATGTTTTAGGGGCTGGGAAAATAGCTCAGTACTAGAGCACTTTGCCTAGTGTGCACAAAAAACTGGCTTCAATCCCCAGCACGACAAAACTAACAGACAGACAGACAAAAAACAGGCCAGGCATGGTGATGCACCCCTAATCCCAGAGGCTCAGGAGGCTGAGGGAGGAGGATCGTAAGTTCAAAGCTCTAGGCAACTTAGCAAGACCTGTCCCTAAATAATATTTTAATAGAGCTGGGGATGTGGCTCAATCGGTGAGTGTCCCTGGGTTACAAAAAAAAGAAAAAAGAAAAGAAAAGAAAAAAGTATAACACATGTCAAAACAATTTACCTCTCACTTATCTTCTTTTTACAGAATTTTGTGGTGGTATTCATATTTTTGTTTTCTATATAATATATAAATTACCTTGTATATTTTAAAATACTTGTGTAATTTTATATCAAATTTTAAAATTAGCATGAGGAGATTCATATTTTTATAATGTTGATTCTACCTACACAGAGATATATGTGTGACAATGCTTGTCAGCTAGTCACTGAAATAATTCTAAGGTTGCTACTGGAAAGGGGCTGCCCAATAGGGACCACAGGTATGGTTACATGATTAGTTTTGCCAACTGATGGTGTGTGATCAGTGTGTCACTTTACAAGTCAAGGTATTTACAAAAAGGGAGTCTGAGGCTGGGGTTGGAGCTCAGTGATAGAATACCCTTCAGTTCAATCCCAGTGCTGGGGAAAGGGAAGGCAGGGAGAAGAGGG